TCCTGATATTATTTTTAAACCTTTGCCCCTCTAATTTAAGACTATGTCCTCTTGTGGTAGTTTTTCTTCTTTTAAATATAGTCTCCTCCTTTACTGTGTTGATTCCCTTTATGTATTTAAATGCTTCTATCATATCTCTCAGTAGTGAAAGTTGATGCCATAAAGAGGCCAGAGATTCAAAGATCTGTTTCTAGATTGTGACTACTTTGCGCTCAATAGGGAGTGCCTTTGTTAAGAGATGGCCACAGGAACCTATTTTAGACGCTATTATTGTTTGTAAGGTCCAGGAAGATAAAAGTAAAAACCCTTAAATCTAAAGTAGATTGGAAGCAGTCTGTCACATTGGTCGTGGGCAAAGGTGGTACTGTAGCCATCTTGTGCGGGTGGAACATGCCATTAAGGCCTACAGATTTGGCCCTCAGGCGCCAGTAGTGAGGCCGCAAAAAAACTCTGGATTTAGTATGGCAACTCAGTTAAGCCAATTTCGTCAAAAGTACCTCTGATTCTAACATTGCAGCATCTTTTCAGATCCTCTAGTGTGTCTATGCAAGTGCTGGTCTTAGTCTGTGCCTGTGATTAAAGTTAAATTTAAAGATTGAGATACAATTATTTAAGGTAAATTACATCTGTTTGAAAGTGAAACCAGTTTTTTTTTCATGCAGGCTCTGTCATTTATAGCCAGGGGAGGTGTGGCTAGGGCTGCATAAACAGAAACAAAGTGATTTAACTCCTAAATGACAGTGAATTGAGCAGTAAAATTGCAGGGGAATGATCTATACACTAAAATTGCTTTATTTAGCTAAAATAATTTAGGTGCCTATAGTGTTCCTTTAGTCTGATGAATCACATTTTTTCTTTTAGATTAGGTGTATGTCTGGGAAACAGATGCAAGCAGGATGTATTATTGAAAGGCAGAGGCAGTGTTATGCCCTGGGCAATGTTCTGCTAGGAAACCTTGGGTCCTGGCATTCATGTGGATGTTCCTTAAACATGCACCACTTAACTAAAGATTGTTGCAGAAAACATACACCCATTCATGGCAATGGTGTTCCCTGATGGCAGTGGCCTCTTTTAGCAGGATAATGCACCCTGCCAAGTGCAATTTTTTTGGAATGGTTTGAGGAACATGACAAAGAGTTCAAGGGGTTGCATTGGCCTCCAAATTACCCATATCTAATTGAGCATCTGTGGGATGTGCTGGAAAAACAAATCAGATCCATCGAGGCCCATCACAACTTGCAGGCATGAAGGGATATTCTGATAATAATGTCTTAGTGCCAGATACCACAGGACATGTTCAGAGACCTGCCAGCAGCACCCCCTCCTTACATAGAATAGATTTCTGACTGAATAGTTTAAAAAAGACTCATACTGCTTCTACTTACTGTGTCTTTCTATAGATTCCATGTGAAACATAAGCAACCTTCTTTTAATAGGTTTGGCTGACTTATGTAGCACAATGGGAGTGGGATCTGGTATGAAATCCAAGGTCAGTAGTTGGAGGATATATTCTCTGACCAAAGCTTCAATATAGTGCTCCTGCTGGAATAGTGTTACCAGTGTTTTTACACTGGTGCACCACCTTAGTCACCCTCTTTCATACGGGGTAGATCCCACACATCTTTGTTGGAAACTTTGTGGCAATTAAAGCAACTGTGTATGTGGTGGGTCTGCTCTAAGATGGTTCCATACGGAGAGTCTGTCTGGTCCTTACTCAAGACAGTTTTTCCATTACTCTATCTCTAAAGATCCTTGGTGTTCTCCTCTCCAGGTCACCGGAGTAAAAAACTCTTCTAATTTCTAAAGAGTCCTAGCTGAGGTATGTCAAACAGAAAAGCTCTCTCCCGTGTGCACAAAATAGCTGATACCATGCTAATAGATAGGTTAGCTGCTAATACCAGGTACAGATAACATCTTTCACTGGTAATACGCATATGTTCTTCTTTCCCAAATGTTACTAAATCCTCTACCTATTGTGTAGCACTGTCCTTCCCTTACCTGCCCTTTTATTCCCTCGTCTTCTTAATTCTCATCTGCCATCTTATTTCTCCCCTCTGTATTTTTGACCTACCGTATATACTCAAGTATAAGCCGAGTTTTTCGGCACATTTTTTGTGCTGAAAAACCCCAACTCGGCTTATACTCGAGTCAGTCTGTATTATGGCAATTTACATTGCCATAATACAGACTGGGGGCTGGCAGAGCTGTTACTTACCTCTCCTGCAGCTCCTGTCAGCTCACACTGTAAGTCTCGCGAGAGCCGCACTATGACCCCGCGGCTCTCGCGAGACTTACACTGGGAGCTGACCGAGGTGCTGCCCGGACCGGCGCGGAGGAGGAGAGAGCTGACAGGAGCTGCAGGAGAGGTAAGTAACAGCTCTGCCAGCCCCCCTCCTCCCCCCACTGAACTGCCAATGCCACTGGACCACCAGGGAAGGAGAGCCCCCCTCCCTGCCATGTATCAAGCAGGGAGGGGGGACAAAAATAAATAAATATAATAATAAAATATTAAAAATAATAATAAAATAAAAAATAATAATAACAAAATATTAATAAAACAAAAAAATTATTAAAATAATTAAAAAAAATAATAATAAAAATGCCCACCCCCCACCAAGGCTCTGCAACACACACAAACACACACACAAACACACTGCACTCATACACACTGCACTTGCATACACACACTGCATTCATACACACACACTGCACTCATACACACACACTGCACTCACACACACACACACTGCATTCATACACACACTGCACTCATACACACACACTGCACTCATACACACACACTGCACTCAAACACACACTGCATTCATTATATACACACACTGTAAATAAATATTCAATTAATATAATTTTTTTAGGATCTAATTTTATTTAGAAATTTACCAGTAGCTGCATTTCCCACCCTAGTCTTATACTCGAGTCAATAAGTTTTCCCAGTTTTTGGGGGTAAAATTAGGGGCCTCGGCTTATATTCGGGTCGGCTTATACTCGAGTATATACGGTACATTGTCTAAATACAGTTTCAGTGGCATCCTACTCATTTGTATAATAGATGTGCAAGTTTTACACACACGTATCTATCTATCTATACACAGTATCTCACAATAAAGTATCATCATTAATAAAGTTACAAAGTATCATCTATTTAGATAGAGAATACATGGCTACATTTACTCCCCCTCTCCCCACCCCTACCCCCGTCTCCCACACACTTATTATCAATACTTTGTGGCACTACTATTTAATGCACATTCACATGCCTACATACATAGCAAGAAGCATACGGATTAATACATATTTTATCATGAAATAGTAAGATCTAAGTCTCTCGGTCATGTTTAATTGACTCAAAAATTAAGCTGTATCTTTGAAAATTGGAGACGTGTAACTTGAATTTGTTAGCATACTAGTTATATACAAGACAAAACTGGGACGGTTATACCCTTTGGCAAAGTGAGCACTTCCTGCGTATCAAGTTAAAACATTGATCTTTGTGACTTAGTACACAACATAGGATGGTTTATTCGATAATAAGCTATTTGTGGTGAATTGAAAACTAATTATAAAATTTAAATGGTACTAATAAGACACCTAATTAATAAAATAATGTCTAGTGTTAAACACTCTACCCACTTAATGTCTGTTTTTTTCCTTCTCTGTCAGAAATATTTACTAAACCCAGAATTGTACAAAAGTATATTATGAATGGCATCCTCGCTTACTTATTTACTCCCCCTTCCATTTTTATCTTCTTTCCTTTAGGTGAAGTCTGACCCTAGGTTCCTTACACAGTAACGCAGCCATTTTTTTGCTAGTTTTTGGAACTAGGGCATTCTGTGTTCTCTAAGCCTATTTTAAATTACTGAAATGGTCACTTACACTTGTACTACTTTTATATGGGTTAATAAAATAAATATATAATTTTTTTCCTTGTTTTTGTATTCTTGCACTCAGAGGCGTAACTAGAAACCACGGCACCCTGATGCGAAAATTGCCCCGCCTCTCCCTCCACCACAACTTCTCTCTCTTTTTATTGCATTGCACCCTATGCTAATCTCTCAATTTCAATTTCATCAGGATTTCGGTGGACAGGGTAAAAGGGTGGACCACTGACGCAAATCACGTATCCAGATCCGCCCAAAGGGGAGAACACGCCTAAAGAGGGGGCATGTCTGCCCAAAGAATTAGATTATCAGCCTTTCGTGAACGCATGTCAAACTGCCTGCTAATCATGCAGGCTGGCCAACTAAGGACATACTATTTAGACAGCACCCTGAGCACAAAGCCATATTTACCTTAACTAATTTCATTGTCAGCCAGTCCACACACGTTTTGTTTCCCTATATCCCTCTTAAGTTTCCAAGATGCAGCCGTGGCACGTATAGGATCGGAGTTTCATTCATTCGAATGAAATTCCGATCCGAACAAAGTCCCGAATTTCGTCCTAACATGAATGAACAAACTGTTCTGCAATTCGGCAGTTCGGGAAAAGTGAAAGGAAGCATCGCGGGAACACGGAGGAAAGGTAAGTATTGTGGGGAAATTTCTCTGACCACCGGAAATGAAGCACACATTGCTCCTCCAGGGCTAGAGTTCACTCTCGTGAGATCCAGAGCGTTGCCATGGTAACTGTGGCAACGCTCCGTGCTCGCGAGAGAAGGGCCTGGAGGAGCTGCAGACTGAGCTCATGGGTCCTCTCTCTCTCCCTCCCCTGCCTGTTGCCAGCACGGTGCCTGCGGTCCATGAAGGCACATTGCAGGGCTGGCGCTTGGACAGTGCCAGCCCTGCATTAACCGACAGGGGAGAGCCTCGGGGGCCCATTGCCCCCCTCCCGGATCCGCCAGTGGGTTCACGTCGGCCCTGCATACATCCTATGAAATATAGACTATTTTCTGGCCTACAGGTATTAAATAGGTCTCCATATATTTTCACAAAATGTGTTAAATGAATACCAGATTTGCAATATTTGGTTAGATGTAGTGATGCGCCTTGACTTTGGCAATACTGAGGACAGTTTGGAGCTTAATGAATACTCTATATTGTTTAAAGCACTGACTGGGGAAACAGCGTGAGAAACATTCAGGAGATCTGCTTTCAGAATCCATGTGAGAACATGTACTCAAAACCAGCCCTCCAGTCAGTTTAATATAAATTACAAAACATGTGAAAGGAAATTAAAACAATATTAGTAATAATGACTCATCCATGAAGAATTTTATACTCTTTACTGGAGTGACTAAATCCAGCAGATGGGTGATTGGCGTTAAAGTGAATATGCCATGACAAGTCAACTTTGGGCTGGAACATTTCCTTATGCAGTCAAAATATAATTTACCCCAGTGATAAATTCTATATTCACCCACGTAATGAGATGTTAACTAAAGGAAGACTATAGCACTGGGAACAGAGGTGACAATTGCCATGAGCCCCCCCCACATACATATCCTCTTCCCTCCAGCCCCTCCATGTGTCACATTTACACCTCCCAGCCCCTCCATGTGTTTCATTCACACCCCACAGGGTGAGTGTGGCATGTTTGGGGAAATAAGTATGACAGAATTGGAGGGGTTCATGTGATAGGTGAATATGGCAGGGTGAAAGGGGGAGAGTGATGGAGAATGAGTGTGACAGGATTAGGGGAGTTATTGAGAGTGTGGCAGGTTGAAGGGGGCAGTGACAATGTGTGTGGCGGAGTGACAGTTACACAGATACACATGCATAGAAATGGACAAACAAACACTGACATACATGATGATACATACCATATAACACATTCAGATACATACAGAGACACACATACATATTCAGATGCACAGATACACACACTGACACACATGCAAATACACACACACAAAATAACACACAGATACACAGACACATATATACACACAGACACACAGACACACAGAATGACACACAGAATGAAACTCCAACAGATACAAACACTGACACACATACACATACAGATACACAGACACATAATGACAAACATTCAGATACAGAGAATGACACTCATACAGATACAAACAGTGACACATATAGCAGACACTGGCATACAGATAAGCAGACATAGAGATACACAGAATAGCACACATGCAGACATACTCATACAGACACAAACATAGGCACACAGATATACACACATATACATACATACATACAGTCATGCAAACACAGACACACATACAGACACACACACATACAAAAATGTTTTAGTCACCCTCCTGTTAGCACTGCTCATCTCTTCGCTCCTGTGAGGTCATTGTGGAGGTGTTGCTTCTTCCATCGCTGGTCCAATTCAATGCTCCTCATAGAGCAGCATTGGGGACCTGATGCACATTGAGTTTAATGCTTTACTAAGAGCTGCAATGTCATGTGACTGAGTTTTTACATTGCTGGGTTAAAATGGCAGGGCCATTGCACCCAAACTACTTAATCGAGATAAAGCCTTCTGGGTGACTTTGGTGGTCCTTTAAAGGGCCACTATGACCATTTCATTAAATTGATTATGGTGCTTGGAAATCCCTTGCACTGTCTCGACATTGAGTGGCGCGTTTCCGAGCAGTGGGATGGGTTATGAAAGACTGTTGTTTAGCATTAAAACATTAAAAACAGATTAACACCAATTGGAAGGATGCCATCAGGGGACTCCATACCCAATAACCACTTCATTGAGATGAGACACTTACAGTTACTGATTACTTACTTAACCCTAATTAGACAGGTCCAATTTGTTTCACTCCGAATTGCCGAAGTTCCGAAATTGGTCTTTCAGCCAAATTTACTAATACTAAGTAAAGATTACTTAGTGTTAGTAAATTATGCCCCTACTCGCTATACCGAGGGGCATGACTATTAAAGAGTGAGCAGGCACTCTGATTGGATGGCTTAAACCAACCAGAGTGCTCTGCGCCTAATTGCAGGGCAGGGCAAGACTTTATAAGCCTTCCCCCAGGCTGTAGAGCTCAGTCTGTGCGGAGCCCTCCATGGGTGAAGATGGCATTTATTTATTTTTTGCGCTCTGGTTTTTTTTTCTTTTTTTTCAAAGTGAGATTTTTATTTGGCATTTTTGGGGGCTGAAAAAAGAAGATTTTAGAAAAAAGAAGACATCAAAGGTAAGTTTTTATTATTTGTTTTACAGATACCTAGTTATTGGTCCCCTCTCATTATTTTTAGGGTGGGAGGGGTTGGTAGGGGTTAATTAATTTTTTGGGGAGGGGGGTGACTAGGGGTATGGGGACTCCTAGTCACCTGGGGGGCCTAATTTTTTATTTAGGGCCCCTACCTGCTGCTCAGGGGTGGGGGCCAGAGGGGGAAAACAATAGGTCCTGTGGGAATTAGGGAGTTATCTACTAAGCAGCTGCAAGAGAAGTGCCGAAGTCCCAAAATGCCGAAGTGCTGAAGTTCTGAACCGAACCGAAGTGCAGAAGTCCCGAATTTCAGAATGCCGAACCGAAAATTTTCCCCATGCACATCCCTAACCCTAATTACTTTTCCTGCAATGCCTACACAGTCACAGTCAATGCCTACACAGTGGTCCATGGGTGTTGCCCAAATACAGCAGTCACTCTCTTGTCACCCCTACTACTGCCACACTGCTAAATTGTTGGCTCTCCACAGGAACCCTACCACAAATAGGGGGAGCCTCCACTGTCATGCTGGCTTTATTTCCTAGTGCATAGGAGCATTAATAGAGAGATGTCTGTTACTGTTCCTGTAAAGGAATACATGCACAGTAGTGTGATGTAAAGAAGGAGAATCACCTGTAGGAAAGATCTCATTCTCACTCAATCCTCAGCATAGAATTCATTGCCAGAGCCCTGTACAGTGATAATTTATTGACAGATGGTGACTTCACTTAAAGGAACACTAAAGATTTAAGAATACAAACCTATATTTCTGACGTTTTAGTGTCCCTGTTCCTATTTAAAAACAGTACCACCGCATCCCAGGTTGCCATATAAAATAATTAACTAAACGTTTTACTTACCCTTTTTCCAGCACTGAGGCTCCTTTGGCGCTGCTTACCTCTCTGCCTCCTGCGACATTAAGGAGGAAGCATGACCTCCTCTGTGGATGTCCATTGTCCAATCCAATGATCCTTATAGAGGAACACTGTGGACCCAATGCACATGTGAGGCAAGTGCCATGCATGCATCCAAAATAGAAAAGCATTGAAACTATGTTTTCCTATGGGGGCTTCTACGTGACCAAGTTTTACTCTGTCAGTGCCACAAATGCGCCTCTAGTGGCTGTGAGTATGACAGCCACTGGATGAGGATTTAACCCAGCGCAGTTTCTTAAAAAAAGAAATGTTTCACATTGCAGGATTACAGAGACAAGAGCACTGCAGCCAGATCACTTTATTGAGATGAAGTGGCCTGTGTAACTTTAGTGGTCCTTTAAAGTGCTACACATTTGCTAAGCTCTCTAGCAGTACTGCAGATACAAAGTATAGGTGAAGTTGAAGTTGAATGTATGAACCCTGGCAGGTACAATTAAAGATGTAAAATGGTCTCAAGATAAGTGTGTAACTCCTCAAATCCCAGTAGATCAACCCACACCTTAGGCTGAAAAAAAAACTGAAATAGAGAATAGGAATAGCAAAAAGAAGAAATCAAATTGCTGCAACCAGGAGATAGTTACTAACACTAACAATTGTTTAAATGGGTTTATTTAAAACCCCAATATTTGAATCAAATTTGAATCAAAAGTTTGCAGAAATGGTAGCTCCGCTGAACAATATAACACTGTTGATACTTGTTGATACAATATATATATATATATATATATACCTGGTTTGTGCATACTGAAGCTGTAACTGTTACCATTACAACTGTTACTGAATAACAGTGTTATAGACCTACCACTTCTGCAAACTTTTGATTCAAATATTAGGGTTTTAAATATACCCATTTAAAAATTGTTTGTGTTAGTAACTATCGCCTGGTTGCAACAATTTGATTTCTTCTTTTTGCTATTCCTATTTACAATTTCAGGTGTACCTGTTTAAATCTTGGCGTTCTTGTTGCCATGCACAACAAAAAGCTTTTCAGATTGCTTATGGTACCAAATCAGGTGCATGCACCTTTCCCAAGTGCTGTTATAGTTGTCTCAGACTCCATATAAATTCTAACAGGTGCAGGGGTTCTCAACCCAGTCCTCAGGACCCCCTACCAGTCCAGGATTTGGGGATTACCTGGGTGTGTCTCAGGTGTTTAGAAAAAGGGGAAAAAACACCTTAGACTCACCCAGGTAATCCCTAAACCCTGGACTGGTAGGGGGTCCTGAGGACTAACGTTGAGAACCCCTGGGTTAGAGCATATCTCATGTCTTCACCAAATTACATTCCAGAGTACCGTGTGCTTGCATTTTCCTTCTTTTTTCCCCCTACCTTGGACATTAACCCTTTGGTACAAAACAGAGAGGCAGTGACTCCAGAGCAGTGTATGTATTTCAATACCAGGTGTTTGTCATTCAGGTGAATTACAGGGGAAACTTTTATAAAATCTGTCACTAGCGGTTAGAACAAAATTAAGAAAACAAAAATTACAGACCTGTTAGTATACTTTCCATGCCATGTAAATACTCTTGGTGTGGTTTAGGGTTTAATTGTTTAATTATATTTCATTCCACTGTGGCCAATGAATGTAGAATGAGTTTGTATGCTCATAAAGAGTTAAAATGTTGCTTTGATAAGAACCATTTTTAAGTTCTAGGAAAGGTGACCTTTATGACATCTCGGGTGACACTTAGTTCCTCGTCATAAGTAGTTGTGTCATTATGAACCCTGGACTTTTACCCCAAAATGTGTCTGCGTGTCTGGGGGCAGAGGGTTCTCCTACACAGACACGTGTTAGTGTTGATAAATAAAAATAGGCTCCACCCATAATAATATACTGGTAATTGTAAATACATACACTATGCTTTCTCTCTCTATGCATATGAATATATATGGAAAAAAAATATTCAAAGCAGCTATATTCCCAGTGCAACAAATCTGGCCTTAAAATTGCAAATCCTGCATGCATTTGCAATGATTAATGAATAACATTGTTGCTCCTAAAAAAATTAATTACTATGGTTTTTCATAACTGAAATAGCCGGTAATAGCATTGCTATAATTAAGGCTTCAAGTGACAAAAAGAAAAAAAGAGCAATAGAGAATGTTTCTTCTGTGTGAAATAATTAAATTGAGCTAATCAGCTATCTGTTGTAATACGGCATGGTCATGTTTGGGTGTTTATTCAGACCTCTGCTAGAGGATCAGAGCATGGGGCGTATATATACCACTTAGGAGAAAAAAGAACATTGTTTAAAAAATGTATATGTATGTGTATATATATATATATATATATATATATATACTGTATATTATATATACACATGTACCTGATACTGCACTGCTTCTGTACCTCCATCTTTAACAATGCAATAAACATGTCCTACATGAGACAAAGTGGCCCCCTGATTTGTCTAATGTGCATCAAAGAGATTCAATTTTTTCAGTTTTTCATGTCTGTCTTTATAAAAACTCAGATTTGAGTGCTGAATTGTATATACAGTGCAGAGAGCAAGAAACACGTGCTCCACATCTATTTTCTGACCGCAGTAAACCCTTTTTAAAATAGACAACCTGACGAGTTTCTTGCAATTCCAATCAGAAAATATAACCTGCCTTACAGGTGGTAGTGATGACTTCTTTCTTTTTTTTTTTTCTTTTTTTTTTTGAATATGCAGTGTTTATTTACATTTGTAAATAGTGACCATTTTCATGTCAAAGGGAATTTTTAGACAATCAGTTTTCATTGAGGTAAATGCAAACAGACCTAGTATACCAAACTTACATGAGTCAAGGTAAATTTCAAGTTTCGACTCAACAGATTAGCCGAATATGAATGGCAGAGGCAGTGACTGAAAAGACCAGTCCTTGGAGCAGTCCAGATCATTTAACAAATGCCAGTTCTAGAGGCTTGATCAACTTGTAGGCAAGGTCAACCACCACCTGACCCTCTGCTGATGAGACGAGAAGAGACGCTATACCAGACAATCTAGAAAACCAGATTTAAACCCAAAAGGGAATCGAAGCTAAGATGTAGAGAAAAACATGCTTTTCCTGTCCTCCAGCCTCTGTGAGAGAGTTGTGGGTAACAATCGCATGGTGCTTTCCTACTGAAAAATGATGGTCACTGGAAACGTTGCTCACTACTCTATCCATGTTTTGTCAGTACCCAGAACCACCTGAATTCTATTCAAGACAGGAGATTGAGTTGGCCCTCATCAGGACTGTGTACTGACCCCAACTTCTTGTCTCAGCTGCAACTGCTTCTAGAATATGCTGCATAGAAGATGATGTGAGGGCATTTCGAATTGCTCAGGCAACGCCACTATCTTAGGAAAGTCAAGGCTGACCAATAAACAGAATACTTGCAGTATGGAGCAGTGGCGGATCCAGAGCCTGATCTCGGGAGGGGCACTTGTAGATTATTTAAATAAATAATCCAGGCACAATAACCACTAGAGCTCAGTGTAGTAGTTAGGGTGCCAGTAGTGCCAGGATCCCACCCCAGAGTAAGTAGTCATACTGTTTAAGAACAGTTTGACAACTTACCTGGGGTCTGCTGGGATATAGGGCATAGGAGCAGTGGTGTGTGTTAGGGGTGAAGTGTGTGAGCGGTGAAGTGTGTGTGTGAGTGCGGCAGTGTATGTCAGGGTTGCAGTGTGTGTGTTAGGGGGCAGTGTATGTGTGAGGGCAGTGTGTGTGTGTGTGAGGGTGGCAGTGTGTGTATGGGGGCACTGTGTGTATGGGGGGCAGTATGTCTGTGTGGGGCAGTGTGTGTATGGGGAGCACTGTATGTATGTGTGGGGCAGTGTGTGTATGGGGACAGTGTGTTGTGGGGCAGTGTGTGTATGGGGACATAGTTTTTGGGGCAGTGTGTGTATGGGGGGCAGTGTGTGTATGGATACAGTGTGTGTATGGGGGGCAGTGTGTGTATGGGTACAGTGTTTGTGGGGCAGTGTGTGTATGGGGGGGAAAGGAGGGTAGGGAAGCTTTTTAATAATAATAAAAAATGTATTTAATAAAATATATATATTTAAGTTCCCCCTTCTTTCTTACCTCTACTGGGAGGAGGGGGGGCATATTTCGTTCCCTGGTGGTGAATCCCTGGTTGTCCCAGTGGTAGTGAGGTGAACTCTAGCCCACTCCAAATCTCGCGAGAGGAGGACCCGGAGGAGTCACTCCCCTGCCGGCTGTCAGCACGGTGCCTGCGGACCGGGGAGGGAGATCTCTGATCTCCCTCCTTGGTCCACAGGCACATAGCAGGGCTGGCACTTGGACAATGCCAGCCCTGCACTAGCCATCAGGGGAGAATCTCGGGGGGGGCAATTGCCCCGTTGCACCACCCGGATCCGCCAATGGTATGGAGCCAGTTAAGCAAAAAGTGCCACAGGCGAGTGGGGGAAGAAATAGGGATCTTCTGATGAAAGAGTGACTGAGGGTTGAGAGGTCAGCCACCTCCCTTGCACCCATGTCACCAAGTAGGCTACAGGATTTTCCTAAATGATATTCACCAAAAGTGATTGGAAATGCCTCCAAAATGCTTGCTTGTTGAGCCCTCGAAAGTGAACAGTAACAACAGTAGTTGTAATGCCAGTAAATGTGATCAAAGAGTCCTCAAAAGGTATACAATTCAGCTTTTCTCTCAGAGCTCAAACAATGTGCAATTGATCAGCATGGCAGTGTGGATTTGCCCATTTCATGGTGTTTGGAGTGTTCCTATAAAGGAACACTAGGCACTATAACCATTTCATCTTACTGAGTTGATTCGAGTGCCCGGAGTCCTATGGCTACTATACACCTGACTTTAGCTGTATATGTCCTCATTTTTTAACATTTGTCATTTGTCTGGAAGACAGCTTAGGTATAACTGGAAATATCTAGCCAAACACAAAAAGTGCAGTCCTGTTTATTTTTGGCCATACAATGGTCACTAGGTCCTTCACCCATAATACAAAATAACGCCCGGGCGTTTTTTCCTTTTTATTTTGTATTATGGGCACTGGGCATTGTTTGATTTAATCACTCTCCTACTTTAAACATGATTTTGATATTCACTATCTAATCTTTCTGCTTCTATGCCTGTCTAGCTAATTAACCAGGAAGAGAGGCTTTATAAAATTCTACTGTCAGTTTATTTGAAACTGACCTATTGATCTAACATAACCTTCTCTCCACACTGGCTGTCTGACAGTATTTCTCCTCTGAAATCTAGCACTGTTACCCTTTCTAGACCTACTTAGATTATGTTGCTGTAATCATCACTAGCTACAGACTGACTGTCATCCACTGTAACCATATTATAACTACTACAGAGACACTTTGGATTCCTCAAACTATATATTTTGTTCAACCTGTGAGTACAGATTCTGAAATTCCACCTTATAGGGTACAGTGTCACTAAGAGGAGTGGCATTGATTTTTCTCTTTTAAGTCAGTTTTTCAATAAAGATATATCTTTTAGTACCTTGGATCACATCCCTATACGTATATGTGAGTTACCCTTACCTGGCTCATATCCTGGTTGCATAGTTGCATTAATTACACTTGTATATACTTTATTTTTCACTTACTTTATGGTCTCACTATTTAGATATTATTTTTCGATATATTAGCCAGTACATTATTACCCTGATTCTACATTGCTATATATATATCCAGGTGATGTGCCTGATCTCAGGGCTTTGTTTGCACTGAGACCAGTAGCATCTTTGCTCCTGTTTTTTTTTGTCTATTTCTCACATCGGGGTTAACCCCCTGGAGACCCCTGGAGTCTCCTTGCGGTACTGAAGACTAGAGGTTACACCCAGCACTATTACCTTAGGGTAGAGTGCAGGGGTTTGTACTCACTGTCTTCTATCCTTCTCTGTCCCATATATATCTTCTGACTGCTTGAGAATTTCAAAGACATTTTTATTTAACTAAAATAGAATGCAAATGAAGTAGACCGATGGGCAGATTTCCAGAGTCAACAGCCTGGAACCTATTTTATAAGTCATCTATTGATTAGATGATAGCTGAAAATCTATTTGAATATGTTTATATTCTGCCATGGTTGAAATCGTTTTTAAAGATTGACTATTAAATTAAAGACATTTTGAATAATACCAAGTAGGGGGTCTCCACAAAATATATTAGGACAAGCAATAATGTACAAAGGGAAACTGAAGAAAGTAAAAGTGTGAGGACCATTGCAGGAGGTAGGAGTGGTTTAGTGGGTGGATAGATATTTATCACACATCACCTCATCTTACTGCAGTCTATAAAACCATTAGACACAGCAGTTGTATAATAAGTTGATTCATTAGCAAGAGATGTATGCATCTTGAGGGATAGTGCTGCCTCTTTCTTGCACTTCCCACGTTCATTTTCTTGCTTTTTTAGGATGTTGTGGAGACTCTGTGTGCTAATGGGAGTGCATCTCTTGGCTGCCTGGGGTGGCGTGGATGGCAAGGAATCCTATGCCAGATACAAGAGGAGTTGGTTGATGCCAGGGACATTGTGGTGTGGAACTGGAAGTGCTGCAGAAAACTTTACCAGTCTGGGTGAGGATATAAAACATACACACAGTAAAATACTTATACACTCTAAAGCACTGCACACAAACTCATCAATGATAAACCAATACATAGAAACGCACACAGAGACACAACAAACAATTGACAACACATGCACTCTCTGCAAAACATAGAAACTGATGTACATTTAGGAAAACACACAATGATTCACATATACACTCGATGATATATGCATTCAGCAAAATGGGTAGTTACATGTGTTGCTTGTTGTATTGTGTGTGATACACATATCCATTCAATAATGTACACATACAGTGATACACATTTACAATCAGCAGCAAATACCATCATGTATACAGTATATACTTAGCAATATACATTCAGCAACACACCCAGAGAGTCACCTACACTCTCAGCAACACTCACAAGGATATAAACAGCAACACAAACAGTAATAAACAATTATATTCAACAACATGGATATTTAAAGAAACACTCCAAGCACCATAACCACTATAGCCTGCTACAATGGTTATGGCGCCAGGACTACCTAGTGCTCTTCCATAGTAAGATGTCAAGCCGTTGTAGTGCAGGCAAACCAGCAGGACCCAAGTAAGTTGATGAACCACGCTAGACTGGCTTGACTGTTGCAGTTATGGTGCTTGGATCATTCCTTTAATGGTACACATAACTTAGCAAATCAAACCCATGGTGATATATATACACTCAATAATACACTCCCAAAAATATCTATTTGAACTCACATCAATTCACACTTTAGTGAACAATACTGATACTCTCTTCAACACACCTGCAGCTGTATATGAATACACTAACATGGTTATTCACGTAACACAGAATTGAGGTGAATTTAAATTTGCATAGTAAAATGTAAGTTAAAAGGCAGTAACTGTCACTGACTTATAAAATGTTAACATGTCAGCTATTGTGGCTAGATTTTGTCATTTAGATTTCAATTTACTACAGTTAGGAATTTAGTGAATAATGCTACTGGGTATGTGCACACTCATTGTTTTGTGATCCAAACTTGTACCTTAACCAAAGTTAGTACTGTTTTCTTAATACCTAGGTGTGTTCCATGGAGCAGATCTATGCTGTAGGGAGCATGATCACTGTACTCCTCAAATACAATCCTTTGAGTTCCGGTACGGATGGCGAAACTATCTTCTGTACACAGTATCACACTGCGATTGTGACCACAGGTGAGTTTAGCACTACATCAAAATACCAAATTCCTGATTCTGCCACTTTTTTAATGGAAGCGAAAGCAGATCCAGCTGTGTGCTCGTTTATTTTAATTTGGAACAAAATTAATTAAACCACTCGCAAGGCTCCAGCAAGACTTCTCCATAAATGTCTCAAGTTATTTTGGCAGTGATACACTGGGATTTATTTTGTAACATCTGAATTCCAGTGAAGTTAAATCAGAAATTTAGGTTAAAATAGACAAATTGAAACAATTCTATAATCACAGCTTTGCTGTTTTAGTCTGATTTTTAGCAATTAGGTTTTCAATTCGCTACAGTATGCTGGTTCTTGTTCTATGCCAGGGGTAGTCAACCTGGTCCCTACCACCCACTAGTAGGCGTTTTAGGATTTCAGGTAGCCGGTGGTGGGTTCTGCCGTTGGCCTCGATGGCTGTTGACCAAGATGGGCAGGGGAGATACTTTCATCTCCCCTGCTGGCCCATGCAGAGCCAGCCTTCCTGTAACCTGTTGACCAAGATGGGCAGGGGAGATACTTTCATCTCCCCTGCTGGCCCATGCAGAGCCAGCCTTCCTGTAACCCCTCTGGGGCAGGTGAGGAGAGGGGTTAGAGAAAGGTTGGCACTTAATTTCAGCAGAGAAATAAGTGCTGGTACTTAGTTCTAGCAGAGGGAGGGAAGGGCCTGGGAGGCTCTGTGTTCCTCCAGTGAGCAGGCTGGTCACCATGTGTTACCATGGCAATGCTTCGATACAGTGCTGTCCTTGCAGGAGGACAGGAGAGTCAGCCTGCAGCTAGTGGAGCTGCAGGCTAAAATGAACATGCCACCACTGGACCACCAAGGCTTGCAGCATTATGTCCCCCCTCCCTGGTAAAAGATAAGAAGATGGGAGGGAGAGACAGTAAGATAGATTTTCACATCTCACCCACCTACACACAGCATAGACACTACGCACCCTTCACACGCAAACACACACTACACCCCTCAGCTTCACACATACATCCTGACTGCCCGCCTCACACGCACTCCACCCTTGCCGCCCTAGGCAAAACATTTTTTGACCGTGAGTATGCCTACAATGCCCACCCATAAATCCACCTACATGGCCCACACATGAGTTCTCTCACAGGAAGTGGAGTGTATGTGTGTAGGGGATGTTTTATGTGTTATTGTAGAGGATGCAATGTGTGTGTTCTTATAGAATGTAGTGTATAGGGATACCAATTTCTGTAAGGGATGTAGTGTGTTTATAGGGGATGCAGTGTGTGTTTGCGTGTAAGGAATGCATTGTATGTTTCTGTGTGTGTGTGTGTGTGTGTGTGTAAGGGGTGCAAGGTGTGTTTCTGTGTATGTAATTGAATGCAGTCTGTGTCTGTAAGGTGTGCATTGATTGTGTAAGAGATGCATTTTGTTTCTGTGTGTAAGAGAATGAGTGTTTGTGTGAACGTAAGGGATGCATTGTGTGTTTCGGGTGTGTCTGTGTGTGAGTAGGAATGCATTGTATGTTTCTGTGTGTGTGTGTGGGAATGCATTGTGTATGTGTGTAGTGTAAAAGAGAGGGTTTGTGTGGTAGGATAGGGACTGAGAGGGGAGCAGTTCTTTATTTTTTTAAAATTGTTTTCATAGTGCTCTCCCCTCAATTACTGATTTCCCCTTCCCTTCTGTCCCTTAGTGCTCTCCCTTGGCCCCCTGTCCCTCTGCAGTCCCCACTGGGTGTTCCTCTCACCCCCCTCCCCTTAGTGGTCCTCCATCCCTCCCCTTAGTGGTCCTCACTCTCCCAAACCCCTCAGTAGACATTCCCCTCCTCTCCCCACCCATAGAGCCAATTATACTAGGCTCCAAGTGTCAGGGCATGTGTGACTTTAAGGGAGACACTACCCTTCTTGTGTACAGGAAACAGTAGAGTGTGCACTGGATGGTATTAATAAAATAACACTTTATTACTTATCACAAAATATGAGATATACATGGACTATATGTACCTTTTTGCTAGTGATTGGACTTGTGTAAAGTATAAGTATAATGGGCTCTATTATAGGTGAGCAAGTCTTTGTACTGCTATTTTTTTGCTACAACCTCATCTCTACAATCCTGCACTAGAGTATCTTGTTTTCTCTTTGTTTCTATATACCTGAGAACCACTGGGTCAAGAATCTGGAGAAGGTTTGGTATGACCTTACATACCCCTGCTTTTAAGACTTGAGCCTATACTAGTAAGGCTCTATACCATGTGAGTCTAACCCATATCTCCCATATATCATATCCTGGTTTCATAGACATACTGCACCATTATTTGTCTGAATTTCTCTAATTTAGAAATTATTGTTTGTATACACCTCTACAAAAGGGAGAATATTATCATCCACCCAACTCCCCTATTATATGATAGGGTAAGCATATTTTATCAGCGCTCCACTGTCAGAATTATGTTCACTCTCTCTCTCTAGTTATTTGTGGAGAATATTTGGGTAAGCTGTTATCTCCCTTTAATGACAATACAACAATTCTCCATTCTTTCACACACACTTTGAATATCCCATACTCCTTCAAGACTCTTACACCCTAAATGATAGTGAATTAGAGATGACAGCAGACAAGAAGAATGAGGGAATTATTATAGACAACAAACTAGGCACCAATGTGCAAAGTCATTTGGGAGTTGCTAAGGCCAGTAAGGTTTTGTCATGTATAAATAAAGCCAGTATAAATATATTTTTGCCTCTTTGTAAATCACTGGTAAGACCCCATCTTGAATATGCTGTGCAATTTTGGGCACCTGTTCTAAAGAAGGATATTATGGCACGAGAAAAAGTACAGAGTAGGGCTACAAATTTAATAAAAGGAATGGAGCGTTTTAGTTATGAAGAAAGGTTAACAAATTTATATTTCTTTTTGTTTTGAATAACGGCGCTTCAGAGGGGATATGATAGCGTTATAAAAAAATATCCAGCGCCATTACAATACTATACATAGGACACAAGGTCACACTTAGACTAGAAGAAAGGAGATTTAGTCAAAGACAAAGGAAAGGGTTTTTTTTTTTTTACCGCTAACACAATAAGGATGTAGAATTTTCTGCCAGAAGAGATGGTTTTATGAAAGTCTGTACAGATGTTTAAACAGCAATTGGATAAATACTTGCAAATACATAATATTCAGGAATATAATTTTTAATTAGTGGGGTACTAGCTTCTTGATCTAAGATATATTTGACTGTCATTCTGTGGTCAAGAAGGAATTTTTCCTTGTTAGTTGCAAAATTGGAAGCGCTTCGGACTGGGATTCTTTGCTTTCTTTTGGATCATCAGCAAAAAATAATGTGAGAAAGATTGATCTTGGCACATGTCTCTTTTCAGCTATGTAACTATGTAATTCTCTTCAGAAGAGGGACTCTGCGTATTTGAGAACTTGTGAATTTACATGTTAGGATGCAGTTGCCCCTATAATATTTGTATGCTTAATATATGCTGCACTAGTGTTAATTTCCCTCTTGGTCAATTGTCTTTATACATGGCTCATCGAAGCAATCACTAATTTAATGCTTTGGGCTATAGCAGATCTTTTGAAAAAAATTTAGACATCACATTATCAACCTTTCAGTAGTAATTGTTTTCGTTGGTCTGTTGTAAAATGTTTCAGTAATCCATTCATTGTCTTCTGCTATTAAACACTAATTACGAAGCTCATTGGCAATTAAAAAGTTAGCCCTGGTGAGTAGAAATTCTATGTGCCATGGACCCTCCAAACTTGCAGTTGTGAATATCTTTTATATGGCCTGGCTAGTAGCCTTGGACTTGAAATTTTAAGCCCTGCTCATTATATTATTGCATTGTGCTAAAACTCATAACTAGTGATGTCCCGAACGGTTCGCCACGAACGGTTCGCTGTGGACTCATCATTGAGTAAACTTTGACCCTGTACCTCACAGTCAGCAGACACATTCCAGCCAATCAGCAGCAGACCCTCCCTCCCAGACCCTCCCACCTCCTGGACAGCTCACTAAGAATGCAGCTTCACTTTGAATGTAAAATAGATGCTGTCTAGGAGGTGGGAGAGTCTGCTGCTGATTGGCTGGAATGTGTCTGCTGACTGTGAGGTACAGGGTCAAAGTTTACTCAATGATGAGTCCGTGGCAAACCGTTCGTGGCGAACTGTTCAGCGAACCATTCGGGACATCACTACTCATAACTCATAACATAATTGTGCATTATCATTGTCTGTTATTGCAATGTCTCTCTGCACCCATCGCACACTCTGCGTTTCTCAAACTTATTTTACCAAATCGTTATATAAGCAACTCATGTCTGCTCAACTTCTGTTCTTGTCAATTTTCAGGTTCAGAATGTGCCTCCATGCTATCAATGACACAATCTCCACATTGGTTGGCAAAGTGTACTTCAACATTTTCCAGGCACCATGCTTCACTTTGAAGGACGAGGAACAGTGTACAGATTGGCACTGGTGGGGAGGGTGAGTTTTCAAACTCTTGTGCTAAACTGATGCACGTAGTAGAGTACTAGTTTAGGACTTCCATTCACAAATATTTTAAGATAAATTGTAGTCTTAATTTCAAAGACCTCCTAGTCCCATAATATCCCTCATGATTGTGTATATCAGTACCATTCTGCTAACTAACTGGATCCCACATTTAGAACCCCTCTCCATCCCAGGTCATATGTTACTTAGTGAATCATCCATTTGAAGAAAACATATTAAAAATGTGCAGCAGTGACAGAAATTGTTATAAGCATTTAATTTTATTACTAGCATTTATAAAGTGTTAAAATAGTCTGCAGCTATTTGCAATTTCCATATAACAGTTGTATATAGGGGTTGTAGGCAGGGGCGTATTAGCCGCGAGGCAAACAAGGCATTTGCCTTGGGCGGCATTTTTCAGGGGGCGGCAAAAAACGCCGCCCCCCAAATGCCCAGGGCAAATGCCTTGTTAGCCTTGCGGCTAACTGACATCCCGAGCGGGCGGCGCTGGCAGGCGGGCGGCTGGCGAGGGAGCACTTCCTATGAGCTGACTGCTCAGCTCCCTCGCGCGCCGCAGAGTGAGGCTGGGAGCCGAAAGATGACGTCATCATCCGGCTCCCAGCCTCACTCTGCAGCCGGCGTGCGAGGGAGCTGAGCAGTCAGCTCATAGGAAGTGCTCCCTCGCCAGCCGCCCGCCTGACCTGCAGCCACCGGACCACCAGGGATAGAGACCCCCCCCCTCAGCACTCCCAAAGGTAAGGAGGTTGGGGGGGGATTTAAAAAAAAGTTAATGTGTGTGTGTGTGTTTGTGTCTGACTGTGTTTGTGAGTGTGTGTGTGTGTTTGTGTCTGACTGTGTGTGTGTTTGTGTCTGACTGTTTGTGTGTATGTGTCTGACTGTGTTTGTGAGTGTGTGTGTTTGTGTCTGTGTGTGTGTTTGTCTGTGTGTTTGTGTCTGACTGTGTGTGTGTTTGTGTATGTGTCTGACTGTGTGTGTGTGTGTGTGTGTGTCTGACTGTGTGTGTGTCTGACTGTGTGTGTTTGTGTGTTTGTGAGTGTGTGTGCGTGTGTCTGACTGTGTATGTGTGTGTGTGTTTGTGTCTGACTGTGTGTGTGTGTCTCTGACTGTGTGTGTCTCTGACTGTGTGTGTGTGTGTGTTTGTGTCTGTGTATGTGTCTGACTGTGTGTGTGTGTGTATTTAGAAGGTGGGGCGGGGGGGAGGGTTCGGTGGGGGTGGTGCGGGGGGAGGGGGGCGCCTGAGTTTTGTCCTGCCTAGGGCAGCACAAAACCAGGATACACCACTGGTTGTAGGTCTACCAGCGAAGACTGTTATCGAGATCAGGGCATATAGTCATCAGCTACAGCTACCCCAGCTAGGCTGGACTCCAAAAAGGCTTATCCACTCAGGCAGGTATTGACCCCTCTGCCCACCCTGCTTCTCCCATGCAGTAAACTGTATAATGACGATGATATAATTGAAAGCAGTTTTTATGTCAAAAAATGCAAAAATGAACCCTACCTTTGGCTTGTGTTTGAGACTAAGTGGCTATTAAAAAAACTGGACATACCCCAGTTTAAATACCCTGGATTGTCAAGTTTTGCAAATGATATGCCATGATGGTAGTAATTTTCATTCCTGGGCTACCATAAGGTCTCAAAATCTGGCAAATTTCAATGTCCAAAAACTGAGATTGCCAAATTTCTCACACCTTTTTTAGATTTTATTCATATTAAATTGTGTTTCATAAATATTTGATGTGAAATGAAAACCCTTTAGTTTATACTGAGCAAAATTATATATAATAAGTGTGGGTACACTTAATATGGAAGAGGTATAGTACAAATTCAAGGTTTAGTTTTGTTTTTGGTCAGAACTTATATAATTGCCTCTGTCCTTAAAGGGGTTTTTGCGCATTGAAAAGGTCTGTTTATTTTTAAACCACTTTCTCAATAATGCAATAATCCTAGATATTTAGTGAAATGAACAAGCTATTTATGTTTGGGAAGTTCTGTACTAAATGATATTTATGTCAGAGTTCTAAAGATATTTTAAAGATAGTTTCTTTCAAATTAAAAAAGTCATATTTGTGTTATATGCTTAAATTCCATACCGGCAAATATATACAAATATAAATAATATTCTTTATATATCGCCCCTAACATAGTAGGCTGTTAGAGGGTGGGTTGAAGAGCTAAAGTTCAGGGGGATGGGCTTTTTTTTGCTGAAGATATCTTCAGTGGCAAGATATTAGTACTTTTATATTTTAGTGTTTTCTATATAGTAATTGAAGCAGCCATCTGAAAGGCAAATGCACTAGGCTTTAAAGAGGAAACTTGCAGGGCATGCTCTGTGCTCTGGTCCTGCTCAGTCACTCTACACTATGGGAAATTCATAGCTGGCGATAGAGGTACCGTGTGCACTCTCCTCCCTGCTTTTTAATTCAAAACAGATCACCTCCTCCCTTTAGTATGTTATTACTAACAGGAAACATATGGAGCAGGGTTATGGGTGATGGTCACTCTGCACCCACTCCTTTACACTGGTTGCATGGAATGCATTAGACAGCATTGGGGGGAGGGGGACAACAGTTCAGGGGTTGCAGGGTGTCTCTGGGGGTTTGCACTGGATGCAGCCTTGAATCAGGGGCCCATGCATTTTGCTTTTGACTAACGCTTCAGCAGATTTTGGACTTTAAAAACATCTCTGATAATATCTATATATTCTTCTCTTTTACAGATGTAAAAAGTATGGTTTGGTACCAAAGGCTGAGGTACAGAAACAGGCCCCTTTCAACTATATCACTAATTCTGTCACTACTGCCCGCTTCATTCAAGGAGAAGCACAAACAAGGATCAAGTCTCGTTCTGCACTTACCTCCAAAAGGGGCAGAGCTAAAGCTCCAGTCATATCATATAATGTTACAGACTTTTATACCCCCTTTCCATACAATGGGAAGTACCCTTCCACATCATATTCTCAAGACCCAAACACTAACAAGGACAAGCACAGCACGCTTCTGAAGTTACAATCAAAACAGGGGAAAACGGAAAGAGACAATAAACATGTGCAGTTGTACAACACTACAAAAGAGAGAGTCAGGAACTTGTCAAAAGAGGGTGGGCCAGGAAACTTTTTGATGAAGCAGAAAATGAAACAGATGAGACAAGCAGAGACTAAAGGAAACTCAGGAAAAGAGAGAGTTTGGAATTTGTTAAAAGAGGGCAGGCAAATAAGACTCCTGAGGAAGAAAAGTAAGTTGTTGAGACAGACAGAGACCAAAGGAGATAAAGACCCGCAAGCACGGGAATCAGCAAAAACAGTCAGAATTTTGTCAAAAGTGTACTTGGAGAGAGAACCAACAAAAGACTCTAAGCAAATGTCAGATACTTTTTCTTAAACATTAATTGAAGAATACTTGATATTGCATTTGTATGATGAAAAATGCATAGTTTTTAAGCAAAGGATCATCAGAGGCCTTTAGTACCGACAATGTGTTAATAAGTATACACCATCCCTGTTTTATTTTTAATCATGTGCGTGGATGGAGGGATGAGTAGACCTTGCTTGGGATTGAACATGTGACCCTGAGATACTACAGCTGGCTTCATGAAGTGCTGAGCTAGTTCCCAAACATGCTACCATAAGGTTGCTTAATGTTGGTAGGTATACAAACTATGGGATTTAAAATCTCATTGCAGTGGGTACTGTGTCTGGGGTTCACTGGCAGCCCATTCATTGTGTGCTTCTTAGGCCAATTAAGAAGCATTAGCCTGAGCAGCAATGGGTGACTATGATTGGCGAATAACGTCAATGGTCTGCTTTTAGCCTATCAAAACACCCATTGCTGGTATAAGATCTGGTATCACTAGAAAGAAGTGTGTAGTCTGTGCCATAGCCTCCAGTAAGGGCCAGGCTGTGGGTGGCCAGTGACCCTTATCTAGTGTTAATCAGCTTGAAAATCTGTTATCTTTGAATAGAGGGACAGCGCCAGAGGACTCCAGACAATATAAAAAATTAAATTAGATGAAATAGTTATAGTGCCTACAGTGTCTCTTTAATATCTAAATATTTGTTCTTCACAGTAAGCTATTCAAGTTAAACTGGACCCCATTTGCAGGGTTTTGTAGATAGTTAATAACTGTATATAGGTTGTGTTAACATCTGAAAATATTAAAACGTTTACATTATTTGACATCTAGGACTGGTGTTTCTACGCAATGCGAGGTCCCCCAGTGATTAGTATTCGCTGAGATTCTGACAACATAATCAATTAGTACATACTGTAAAAGTAAAGCTGGATACTAATGTAATATATGTATATTACACACCAATTTGTTAATATATAACCCATAATACCAAACAGTATTTTGATGTGTTCACGTAAGCGCCTATATTATACCGCAATATACCCTCTGGAGTCCTAAACCCTGTGATGCAGTTCCATGAATTTTTGAACACAGAGAAGGTATAGCCGATTCATATGGGTTTTGACGCTGAGTTTAGATGGATCCTTCCTTGTTTTCATAAACTAGTAACCAATACTAATGCATTGTTAGGTTGGACTGTCTACCAGATGTACATTTTTTTTAAATGCCTTTAACTCCTCTACACTTCACCAATGGGAATACAGACCAGGGCACAGGAATGGGACTACTCTCCCCAGAGACAACAAATGAAGAAGCACCCTGACAAAAAAAAGTTATCTTGATTGGACAGGTCTATAATATGTCCGCAAGGCTTCAAGGAAAATGAAGGACGGTTTTAGAGAACATTGTAGATCAGTGCTCCATGTTCATTGAGGTGACACTGTAATCTTAGTAATTATGAGGATTGAATGAATTTCTCTAGCAGGTCCCCACTTCATAAGAAGGAATTTCCTTCTGAAGGTTAATACTAAATGCATATTTCAATAAGATACACTGTCTCCCAAAGGTTTTATTTAGGATTTTGATTTAATTATATTGAGATTGTTGGGTTGGTTTATAGTAGTTTTATGTTTTTGTTTACTGTATTATACATTATGTTTGGAAAACTGCGGCTTGTTTTATTTATTTATTTATTAAGTGTTTGATTTGCATTATTGTTTTATGATGTGAGAATGGATGGAGGATAGATGATTACTGAAGTGTGTCCCTTTTTTTTTGCAGATTGTTTCCAGATTGTTCCAGATATATTTCTTTAGATTTTTGCTTCCATATGTTACCAGCTTTAAACTATTATTCCATCAGGTTCAATTTCATCTAAGTTATATAAACTCACACCTCTAGGATGAGCAAACTATCCTGATTAAAAGGGACACTATAGTAACCAAAACAACTTTAGCTTAATGAAGCAGTTTTTGTGTATAGATCATTCCCCTGTAGTTTTACTGCCCAATCATCTGCCATGTAGGAGTTAAATCACTTTCTTTATGCAGCCCTAGGCACACCTCCCTGCATGTGACATATACAGCCTTCCTAAACATTTCCTGAAAAGAATCACCTACTGTTTACACTTCCTTTATTGCAAATTCTTTTGAATGTATCATTTCTTATATCATGCTGTGTTGATAGTTTGCAAGACCCTGCTGGAGCCTCCTGTATGTAATTAAAGATCAAATTATGGAGCAGGAGATAAAAAAACATTTTGTTTTCATGCAGGCTGTGTCAGAGGTGTGGCTAGGGCAGCATGGACAGAAACAAAAGTGATTTAACTCCTAAAAGGCAGTGAATTGAGCAGTGAAACTTCATAGGCATGATACACAAAAACTGCTTCATTAAACCAAAGTTGTTTTTGGTGACTATAGTGTCCCTTTAAATTATTTTATTATTGAATGAAGTGCATTGATATAGTGTGCTAAAGCTTACCTGTCCTATGAGAATGGATTTATCCTGAAATTATATCTGAATAAATCTGTGCACTATGCAGTTCTAGTCAATTGTTTGTGGCCACCCATAACGGCTGAATGTGGAAGCATGGGCTGTTTGAACAGGATACTACTAATCACAGCTTTGGCAGTGCTTACTATTTGATAACTTGACCATCACCGGCATTCATTTTAAAGAACTCAACACTTTCAGGAGAATTGGCTATCAGAGGAGGACATTGCATCAGCTGGTAATTCTCAGGCTTGCAGTGCCCTGGGAGAGGCTCAAGTGGCTTTTTACAGATTCTCCATTATTGAAGGATGTTGGTTTCTTTATTTTGTTATTTGCCATGTATGATATGTATGCTTTTGCCTTTATACTATTTTATTACATCTGTTCCTTTTTGTGGCGGACAGCCTGGCACCCCAACTTGGTGCCTCCACCAATCGCTGCTTCCTAGTGCTCACTGAGTACTTCCACCATACACCATAACCACCATAGTCCCCACAGCCAGTGTTACAGCTTGGTTGGGGTCTCACAGTCCTCCACCCACCCTGGACCCAAGACCAGGATCCAGCTTGTAGTGGGTAGACCTCTCCTACTCCAGAGAATATAGCAGGATAGCTCTTACAAGAGCTAGTGTTGTAATCCGAGGGAGTATAGTGATATGGCAATCCCCAGAGTGAATATAGCTGTTCCCTCCACACGAGACGAGGCTCTATTTTGAGGGTGAAGAGGAACTGTTTAATGGCAGCCATAACTGGCCTTATATGCAGGTCCCCATGCAAGGAGTTTACTATAACATATTCCAGAGGCATTCCTCACTGGACCTGAGAGGGGACTGTGACAAAGTACACACCGTAATTACATTGGCTCTCAGGTTCAGGACACTCCCACACAAAACAGGATAATCCCTCCCCTGTGCCTGAGAGATAATTGACTCAGGAATTAAACTAAACTCAATTATCTCCAGGCACAGAAAACATATATTTTAAAATAACCCAAGACTACCCCCAAAACACATGGAAACCCCACAATTGTCATATCCCCTGAGAGCCCCGAGCTGGGGGGCCAATATATAATCACCAAGATCGGTTCAAGGGTTCGGGATTTGCATGGAAGTCATACTTGGACCGACCGCACATGAGGCTCCTGCCCAAAAGAGTCCCATGAAATCAGGCTGTGCTGTTGGTCTCTTTCGGGAGTACGAAATGTAAAAGTATGAATAAAACCATTGCCTTGTTCGGGAGCTTGCTCCAATCGAACACCTTTCAATTCCCACACGTTTTACCAAACTTTGATGGAAGCAGAAGTTATAGCGGTGTTCGCGCTGTCGAGTGTCCGATTTGAGTTCCATGCTCTCAACGCCCAAACACCGCTCTATGTATTCGCAGCTAAAGATTGCCGCCACCACCTGTTCGCACATACGAATGCCGACCACCCAGCCGACCGCTTAGAATGTTGCAGTTAAGGTGTCGATAGGGGTCAAAAGAGACAACAAGCAGCACGTGACTCCCCTGGGTGGTCTGGCTGTTCGGTAGTTCATTCGGTATATGAACCCAATAAGCATAATCTGCTCGGTAAATACCAAACCAGCTAAGTCAAAAGGCACAAACAGAGCATTTTTACAGTATATTGGCTAAGGTCCATCACAGGGGCTATAGTCCTGAGGTCGGAGGCTGGCCGCCAGGCCCCTCCAAGAACCCATGACGAGGTTCATTTTATTTGTTATCATTAATAAATATTGTTTTTGTACTTGTCTACAATCTTCATCTTATTCTGAATTTTATTGATATTTTACAACATTTTCTTTAGAGTGGCTGCATTTTTATGTTATTTTATACAACCGTACATTTATATATTATAAGACACATAATGCATTTTGTACGGTTATTTTCATACCAATTTTATAAATGTATATTCAATGAAAATCTGTATGGCTATACCACAGATATAAAATGAATTCTTTCGGAAATACAGGGTGGGTAAAAAGTCATGTGTTACAAATATACAGACAACTTGTTAATATGTTCAAGATGGAAGCTCTCAGAGGGTAGGGGGCAGAGTAACATGATCTTGAGGTATTTGTCTGTTTTGCATTGGTGTGCCCTCAGTCTAACCATGTAAAAGAAACAGTCATCTTATTTTGTAATAAAGCTTACATGCATTATTGCTTCTGTGTGTATAATTTTGTAATGCATGGGGAATTGACACTTTAGAAAATTACACTATTAAATATATAATTGAAAATCACATATAACTTGTGTTAACCTTTTATCATGAGATGACATCATAACTCATTTTAGTCTGCACGTACTGCAAATATTTTTTCACCTATTTGCTTATTATTCCTTACTGTGCTTATCCTGTCACTTTATTTTCCCATGCCATTTCATCCAGAAAAGGCAGGAAAATGGCAGCAATATTTAAATGGCTGAATAACAGATTTATACAAACACTGGCACAAACATGACAGCGAAGGCAGTACTTAATAATTATGACCCCTAATGTTCCATTTCTCCATGTGATTTCCATATGCTGACTGTCAATG